CAGCGAAATAGGTCGTAAGTACTTGAGCTGAAGGTCTTCATTCGCCAGCCAGCCACACCCCGATGGGGAAAGTGAGGATTTGCTTCGTCTTGCCTGCCCCTTGGGTTCTTCTTGCAGGCTCGTGATCAAAAGCAGTGTCTTCGGTTTGGTTTGGGTCGGCGCACATGCAGCTGTGTGGGAGCAGATGATGCGAAAATAAGGCATCGCTGTCCAATGACACAAAGCCTTACGAGTTAACATTGGTGATAACAATGAAACAGAGGAAGCGGCAATTCCTGTGACCCTGCAGCCTGTCGGCGACCGCCACGGCGCATACCTGGCATCTGCAGTGATGGCATAATCACTGATGACAGCACCAGCAACTGCAATTGCAGCAAGGGCGATTAGGGGGGAGGGGTCAAGGATTGTAAGAAGGACGCCAGAAGGTGGGACAATGGCCGGTACATCGACCAGGAGAGTCGAGGGGGCGGACGAGGCGGGCGAGCTGCAGGTTCCCTGCACGAAAAGTCGGTCGAGTTGGGTGTCGGAAGGGCCCAAACAAGAGTCGAGGCCGAAGGAGGTGAGCATTGGGAGCGACTGCGCGCCAGAGGTAGGCCAGTCCAGAGCCCACACATTGTAGCTGAGAGATAACGCCATCGGTGGAAGGACTGTCGAAGGCTGCATGGAAGCTCGGATCAAGCCACCAGTTTTGACGACCAAGACAACAACAACAAGAACAACAACGAACGACGACAATGATGGCGACGACACATGATGCCGCCTTATGCACATGAGCCTTCTGGGATCGGAGCGGTCGATATCTATCTGTTGCTGCAGACGTGTGGAAACAATTTACGCGCAGAAACACCGGCGGCGGCGGCGACCTCTGAGCTTGAAGCTTTAGTGGGACCTTGACGCGAAGGAGTCGACCAAGTCTCGATGGCCTGGCAAGCGCGGTGTGCTTGGTCTGTGGTGCGTGCGTTCGTACGTGCTGATAATATCGCATGCAGATGCAGTGTCGAGGCCAGGCCACGATGGAGCCCGTGCTGAGCTTGAAAGCAGGCTGTTTACCGGGGCGCTCTTGTGTTCGGTTGCATCGCCTGGGGATCTTCCTGGGAGGGTCTCGTGTCGTGCTCGTCAAGTTTCGTTCCGGCACGGTGGATGATGTGCCGTCATATCTTCCGCCCGTCATCCGAAAGTGATAGTCCAAGGGGGCGAGGGGGGCGAGAACAGGCCGCGGGCCAAAGATGGCTGCACCTTTTCGCCATTGGTATGGATCAAGTGCTCGGTCCTGTGTAGCCTGGCTTGGAAGCAGAGGCCGAGGCACGTAGCCTGCACGGTACGGCCTTGGACGGCACGAGAGGCTGTGGGCGGCATGCATGCTACTGGTCATGCTCGACTTCACGCTTCGAAGCACTCGCACATGATTAACAACTCGAAGGAACTCGGCCTCCGTAGCGGGGACTTTGGGGCGAACCAGGAGAGACAGATGGAGACTTGGGGACGGGTGGACTGCTCGCTTTGTGCTTTGCGGGAACCACAAAACAGAGTGCCCGGGACCTGGGAACTAGTTCGGAGTTCTCGCTAGCAGCGTAGTATATCGCAGGTCTGATCGTTGTCCACCTGAGTTAAAGTATTTTACCAGGGTGCAATACCGAGGAAGGGCAGCGACGCCCGATGGTGAAGCAGCGAGTCTGTATTGGCCTAAGAGCATGGCTCCAAGGATGGCGCTTCAGGTGCGAACCTGGACACGGGAAAGAGATGATTTGACCGACGGTGCTTCTGGCACTTAGGCTGATAGTATCGATTGCTCCTCCTGTCAGAGGATTGCATTGGAGCAGTCAGTCCCTGCAGGCATCGGAGACGACGCGGTTGCTATCTTGACTGAGAGGAGTCGCGGATGGAGACGACGATTTGGCGGCGGCAGATGCAGGATGGCATTGTCCAAAGAGCTTGCACGGACAAGAGAACGATCGATGCGCTGGACGGCTGTCAGGTAGGTGTGGTGGTCCAAACCCACTGCTGGTGATTGAGTCGTTCTCCAAATTGGCAGCCCAGGAGAGAGTGGTCTGGTCCGGGACAACCCCTGCAATTGTTGCCCTCCATGGATTACGAAAATGGTGTGATGGTCAGTGAGGCATCTGTCAGTTCATTTGCGAGGTGCCCATGTTAGGAGGGAGGTGCCTGCGTGATGAACTTTGTTTTCGGGGTTGCTGTGCAAAGCGTATCGATGGATGATGGGTGGTCACCAGGATGTGATCAGCAGCTCCTTACAGAGAGGATAGTTGGTGGCCGAGGGGTTGGTGGCCAAGGAGCCGCCGTCGTAGTGCGATGTAGGCGGCAGGAAGAAGGCACCTAGGCAAGGCAGGAGAGGGGAAGAGGGGAAGGAAGGCACAGCAGGCCAGCGCCTCACTAGCCTCATTCCACTAGCCTCCTTGCATTCCTGTGGGCGGTGGACTGCAGCCTGCGAGCTTGGAGCTACGAGAGCTACGAACTGCGAACTGCGAGCTGCACGCTGCGAGTTGTGACCTGGGCGAGGGTCAAGCCTCAGGCCTTCAGGTCCCGGCATCCCCACCTGCAGTGGACACACGGGACGGCTTCTATGGCTTCTAAGTGGCTTGATTTGATGCACAGAAGCCCCCCCCCCTTTCAAGCCCATGCATGCCCTGGCAGATGTAGCAGACACCCGCCCCGATGAATGCATATCTGAATATTCTCCGCTCCCTGCCGTGGCGCTTCCGCCTCAGCATCAGAAGACCCCCCCTTCTCTGAGAACTCCAGTTCTCTCGTTCCATTCCACTCCATCACCACACACCCCTCCTCCCACTGCCACCACCACCACGAGCACTACCTCCTCATCTTCTTCTTAATCCGCTACCTACAGGTACCATGTACCTCTCTCCCCTGTCTTGTCCCGTCCTGTCCGGGGCCCCTCAACAGGTCTCACCTACCAGGCTACCACCCACACGAACGAGACGGCTCCCACAACCTATGACGAGCTGGCTGAAGCCCTCCCGCCTCCGTTGGCCTCGACGAGCACACAGGCACATCGCCTCCCCGACATCCCATTTGTCCGCCAGCACATTGGCATCGGCATCTGGAAACGGAGCAGGGCGGTTGTGGCACAAGAAAACCCCATCACATGGACCTGGCAGTTGAGACATTGCCGCAGCCCCGCCCCCTCATCTTTGACAATGGTTCGCTTTCGATCTTCTGTTCGCTGTCATGGATGTTGCTTCTTAATACGATATTCTCCTGTATCTGGATTCTCCTGTATCTGAGAGACCTCGCTTGGGGCCGATCCACCCCCCCTTGCTCACGCTCCTCTCCTGCTGGCCCCTCCAGCTTGAAGTGACGATCCGGACGACCACACCAGATCAGAACATCACGCATACCTACAGGGGCTGCACTCCGCTGTTGCTATGAGAGCCAGGACAGGCATCAAGGCGTACCCGACGTCGAACGGCGGTCGGGAACCACTTGGAACCATGCAGTGCAGACAGAAGATTATCCCTGCAACTCTCTTGCAACCATGACTGCTCACATCTCCATCGTCCGCTCACGTCTCGTTGGTCAACCTAAAATCGCGAGCGCCCATCCCAGAACAGGAAAAGGCAGAAGGAGGGCCACAGCAGGGGCGCAGGGAACAGGGGTTCATGGCACACGCCAGACGACGAAGCCTACCCTGGAGCTCATGATTCCAGGATACCCCCCTGAGCCACGGTACGAAGCCCCCCCCCCTGCTTTGTCCGACCTCTTGTCTGGCGAATTAGACTTGGTCGGCCGTTGGGCTGGCTGGTCCATCGCGACTGATCGGCGCGGGTGGGTTTTTGTTCAGTTCGACGTTGGAAGGCTCACTGGCCTCACACCTCACATCGCTCGCACCATTACAGGCATCCTTTCCAGTGTGTCCAGCAATTCCCCCCTTGTGCGAGCCGACCCCGCCCCCCTTTTCTCTGACCCGAGATTCATGTAACTCTTGTCAGGAGACAGAAAGACGATCTTCGAGGTCCAACCCAAAATCCAGGCCTGGCAAGTTCCTTGCCCAGACAGCGAGAGCACAGCGATCCCATGTCTTCTTGTTGGGGCCGAGTCAACATGAGATGAGTCTGGAAGTACCTTGGATGTATCTCGTCCGTCTGGAGTTTTCAACTCTCTAGCCCGTCATCCATCACTAGGCCTGCTTCTATCTATATCGCTCCTTTTCATTCAGATACCAGCACCAGCAACATCCACCACTCCGGCCTGCCTATCTAGTTTTCTCGATTCCATCAGCATTCCTCTACCAGACTCTGTCAGTTTCCCCCTCATCTCCTCTCAACCTTGGCCCGCGCCCCTGTCGATGGTATCTGTGGTCTCCTCAAGCGCCCCCACTCTCCGTGCCTATCTGACCCTCTTCTCCGTGCCCAGCTTGAAATACTCGACCAGGCACACCAAGCGCAGAGGTACGCGGAGCACGGATCAGAGGAGTAGAGAGCGGGCGGACTCTGGTACCTACCTAGCGTACCTCTCGCCCTGGTCCCGTCGACCCCTCCTCCATGCAAGCCCTGGTCCCACGGCGGGGAGGCTAAAAAAACGGTTCACTCCATTTGCGCTTCTTTCCCCAGAGCCTTGGTCGCTCTCCCCTACATCTATCTACCTACCCACCACACAGCCTGTACATCGTACACTTGAAGAAGTGGGTGCAGTGCGGTACTGAGGACTAGACCAGAGCCCAAGCAAGGACCCGGACCCAGACCCAGATCTGACCCTGTACCATCCATCCATCAATCGTACCCTCCCTCTCTGCACCCTCGCCGCTATCTTCTTTCTTAACAGGACCTCCGTCCTATATCCATCCTCTCGTCCCATATCAGTGCTCTTTTGCCCCCCCCTTCTCGCCATCTCAATGACATTCGCCTCTCGCTCATTCATTCCTCATTCCTCATTCTCGCCCTCAACCTCATCCCACTCACTCATACTTCGATCCTGACGACAACAACACTCGTTACTTCTTTACCCATCGCCTCGACATCGCCACCATGACAGCCCCGTCGTCCATCCAGATACCCCAGCAGCAACCTCAGTCGCAGCAAACAACACCCACACAGTCTCAGCCAGCTCAACAACCACCTGTCTCCAAGGAAGCTGCTGCCGCCGTTCGCAAGCGCAGGAGACGCGCTCCTGCCGGTGGTGCCACTGATGATTGCTTCACCTGCTCTAAGAGAAATGTCAAATGTGACAGGAGAAGACCCTACTGCTCGCAGTGTCTCGAGGTTGGCAATGACTGCTCCGGATACAAGACGCAGCTCACTTGGGGTGTTGGTGTGGCGAGCCGAGGCAAGCTGCGAGGCCTGTCTCTCCCCATTGCGAAAGCACCTCCTGTCGCCGGCAGCGTTAAGAAGGCGTCTATTAGCCGGGCGCGGACCAACTCAACTGCCACGACTACGAGCACATGGAGCGATACTGATGAGGCGTCACGCCGGCTTGACCGCGGCAGTGTCGACCTCTCGCCCGAGCATATTGTCGGCTCGGCTCCCACCACTCCCTATCCCCACGGCTACGACATGCTCTCCATGTCCCATCCCGAAAACACGCCTCCTCTGCCAGCGGGTCACTGGGGCAGCCTGTCCTACTCCAGTAGCGTACCCAACGAGGGTCCCGGCTATCGAAAGTTGGGGGCTCACCTTGGCCCACTCGCCATTCCCGAATCACTCTCCTCGGGTGTCAGTGACGTTGACTACATGTCGCCTATGAGCCACTCCTATCCTCGCGACGACATCCCGTTCCTCCACAGCCCGAATGTCATGTACGACAACTACAGCAGCCACGGCTCTCCCATCCCCCAGAGCCCTGGCTCAGGCATCCTCATGGACCAGAGGGCTGCGCCAACGTCCTGTCCAGGTCTCGTTTACGCCGCTTCTGAGCAGAGTTCAAGTCTCACGTCCCATATGGACAACTTTGAGGCTCAGATGAGCCAGAAGCTGATGCGTGACTGCGACGGTCTGAGTAAGCCTTCCCACCCATCCTAATCCCACCGCCCTAGACGATATCCATACTGACTGCATGATCAAAGACGTCCCTGAGATGGATGCCTACGGCACCAGCTGCACCTCCACCGGCTCAATATGGCCTTCGCCTCCCCCTGAGGAGATGTCTCCACGCCAGACCGAGCCTACCTCTGCTCACTGGCCTACGGTGATGGAGCCGCAGCCGATCCACGTGAGCTCAGAGCTCATTGCGAAGATGCCCTTCTTCATGGATTACTACAAGAACACCATGTGCCAGTCTATGGTCTTCATCGACGGTCCCAGCAACCCATATAGGGATCACATTCTTCAGTTGGCTCAGGCTAGCCAAAGCCTGCAACACGCCATCTGTGCCCTCTCGGCGTGCAACCTGCGCATGAAGAGGCGACTCAGCCTGGGACAGGATACACGCGAGCTGTCTGAGAAGCTGATGGCTGAAAAGTCCGCGGCCGATGGCATGACCGATGCCCAGCCGGAGGATCAGTCTCTTTCCGAAGAATACCAGCACCGCAATCTGGCAGTGCACCTCCTGAACCAGCAGCTCAATGACCCTGTCAAGTCCAGCCACGACTCGGTCCTTGCCACAATTCTCCTGCTGTGTCACTACCGTATGGTGGAATCGGGCATAGCCAAATTCCACACTCAATTCGCAGGCGTCAAGAAGATCCTTGCCATCCGCCGCAGGTCGCAACAGTACGCGCCGTCGCGCGACTCGGCCTGGATGGAGGCCATCTTCACCTACTTTGATGCCATCTCGGCCAGCATCAACGACCGCGAAGCGCAACTCACCGGCTTCTTTGGTGTTGCACCCGACGCTCCTCTCCTGCCGCCAGGCGCCGAGAACCTCGTGGGCTGCGATCGTGAGCTCTTCAAAACTATCAGCAAGCTTGGCCGCCTCAACCTCCTCTCGCAACACCGTCCCGTTCAGAATACCTCGAGCAGCACATTGCCGCGCAACGTGCCGTCGCGCTCGCAGTCTCCGCTCGGCTCGCCCCTGGGCCATGCTTACAAGGGTAGCATCGGCAACCTCCACCAGCAGCAGCTTGGCGACATGTACGGCCTTGGCGGTGGTCACCGCTTCGATGGCAACGGCTTTGGCACGACACTCGATGATGAAGAGCTTCTCAACTCGGCCGTCTGCTCGTCTGCCTCGTACGACGAGCAGCGCAATACGTTCTGGTGCGAGTGGAAGGAGGCACGCCTTGCGCTGCAGTCGTGGGAATTCGACGCCTCCCGCATCCAGGCCTCGCTGCCCTCGCCGGCGACACCCTCGCAGATCCGCGACCTTGGCTCCCTCTCCGAGGCGTTCCGCTACGCGGCTCTGCTGTACACGGAGCGTCTTGCGTCGCCCAATGTGCCGTCGAACCACAGCAACTTCCAGAACCTGGTCTCGCAGGTGGTATACTACGCAACGTCTCTCGAGGCAGGTTCCTCTGCAGAGAAGTTCCTGCTCTGGCCTCTCTTTGTCGCGGGCAGCGAGTGCGTCAATGAGCTGCAGCAGAACATTGTACGCAGCAAGTGCCGAGACATTATGACACGATCGGGCTACATGAACAATCTTGCAGCACTCGATGTGCTCGAGCGCCTGTGGGCTGGTGACTGGAAGGAGGGGCTCGAGGCACGCAGCCCTGGCGCCGCGCGGGTTGAGGCGATGCGCCGCGGCCCCTTCAACTGGACGCGGTGCATCGGCGGACCTGGCGTTGAAGTTGAGTGGATCATGTTCTGAGACAATAAAGCCCGGATGGATGCGGTTGGGATCTTCGATCGGCACTTGCTTGACATGAGCCGGATCATCGCGGCGAGACAGAGACAACTTCGCGAGTCAGTATACGCGCGAGCGGAGGTCTTGGAAACTTTTTTCTTTTTCCTGTTATCCGATCTGTTTTGGAACTTGACGACTATGAAAGTGGGATTACAGCGATCAGCGAACGGGGCAATAACCAGCGAGCGGATGACTCGAGATGGGCCACTTGAGCCCCAGGGGGAAAAGGGGAAACACGCGAACAAAAAGTCAAGGCATTCTAGCTACTCCTGTCATACCTAACCCTATTTGACGAACGAAACACGGCTACAGCCGTGCGAAAAAAACATGTACCATCACCACAACCAACTTTTTGCCCTCCATGGCTCCCCGTGATACCTTGTCTTTTGCAAATCTGTAGCGCAGAGTACGGAATGCGAATGTGACAGAAAGCCGAAAAAGCTCGTATTGCTCGCAATGATGCCATCCCGACTCAAATGTTGCAAAGAACAGTTTTTTTCTTCTTCCCACTTGGTCATGCCGTGGATTGATTTCCCCTGTATGCACTCCACGGTCCACGCTGGACATCTCCGTGTCGCCATCTCCGTGGCACCGCCCCCGTACCCATTCATCGACGCCCCGTCCTCATCCAATTCGTGGACAGCTGACGGCGTCCGCCAGATTTTCCGGTCGCTGGGGCGGTACGACTCGCCGCACGCATGTGAACATTGCTTGGCGCGAAGTTGTATTCCAAGAGAAGGGCCAAAACGGCAAAAACCCATCAACAAAAGCCTCGGTTCTACGAGACTGACCTCCCGTCCCCCATATCGGAAATCTCCTATGAACAAGGCTGGCTGGCTGAGCTCTCCCCCCCCCCCCCTTGCCCGAGGTTGCGTCGGGGTAAAGTGCAGCGCCCGAATATCACCCGAAGTTGCCTGTTTCCCAGTTGATGTCACCAAAAGCCTCGGCGAGTTCCACCTTTGCCCCAAAAGTCCCCTGCCCCCCCGACCCTCCTGGGAGCCTATTCCCGGTCAGACCCCAGGACTTGCTTCGGCGGCGCCCGAATCCCCCGCAACAAAGGAGGTATAGGTAAGTCGTCAGAAAGAGAAAGAGAGAGAGCGAGAATTTGAGCTAGAACAGAGGCAAAATAAACGGCAGGTGAGAGCGAAAGACCAAAGGGACCGAGACCGAAGGAAACCCCCTACCCATACCGCCTCCTTCCCCCACCCTGATCCCCTGGACTGCGATCGCGATTCCTGCCTTTCTGTTTCGTTCCTGTTCGTTCTACCGTGGTCCTGCGCCAAGGTAGCGCCCGGCAACGCTCGCCGCTGGCCGGCCCACAGTGGTGATAACGACTTCCTCCCTGGCTGAAGAGGAGGGAGGGGGGGGGGGGCAGGAGGAAAGACATTTGGCAGGGTAGGGTGCTTAGGACAGGGGGTTGAGGGTGGATGTTCTAGAAGGACGACAAGCTGCGATACAGGGCAGATTGGGCGCTTCCATTTCCGATGATGGCGCTTTCCTGGCAGGGCAGGGGTGGTGGTCAAAAAGCCATCAAACGCTACGGCGGCAGGCTTTCGGCTTTCAGCCTGGAACCTCTGCGTAGCCCGTAGCATGGAACCTGTAAGCCTGTAGATGAGAGCATCGTACCTCTCTCGGACAGGGGGGTTGGGGGAGGAGGCGGGATGCGGCGCCTGCAGAACCAGTGCGCTTCTCGAAGAGGACTTCGGCTCCGGCGGTGCTGATAAGACGTGCTCGACGGGGGGTTCGAAAGGACGGCGAGTGGACGGCTTCCCCACCTGGGAAGGAACGCTCACCTTCTTTTCTGCCTTCGGACAACTGGGCCTCTCTGCCAGGCCAGGCCAGGCCTGACCCGGCCATTGTGTCGCCCTGGCGAGGATTGAGGCAAGCAGCATGCGAGATGCAGGTACCGGGGCTCAGGTGGTTCCTCCGGAGTGTTCGCTATGTTGGTTGCACCGGAGCACGTCACGACGCCCGCAGGAGGGACGGGGGGTGGGTTAAGAGAAGCAGAAAGGGTGGTGGGGTAGGCGGACTTGAGAGTGGGATGGGTCGGCGAGTGGGGGTTGAGTGAGGTGATCCAAGTGAAGGTGAGGTCAAGTTGGGTGGCTGTCTACAGTTTTCTTTACGTGACCGTCCTTCTCGTGTTCAGAGGCACACTGACGGACTGGGACAAGGGGAGGGCGTGGGAGGTCTGGCTTGAATGGGAAGGAAGTGGGAACATCACGAGCGAGACAGAAGACGGGCTGCAAGTGGCGTGACTTTTCGTCGAGCTGCCTCATCGACTGTCCTGCGTACACTGACGCAAGAAGACGGACGGGACGAGAGGCGATAACGAGCCGTGATGACGGCAATGACGGTGATGATTAGATGAAGGCACCCTTTGGTGAGCATCGCCATCGTTTCCCTTCCCGGCGGTTCGCCTTGGCTATGCCCCCCCCCCCTCCCTCCTCAGTTTGACCCCTTCTTCGTCTTGTCGTCCTTTTGCTGCGAACCTCTTTAGCCGTCCAGCCCTCCCACGCATTGCCCGGCTCACCCTTGCCACTTGAACCGGCTCTGCCTCAGCATGCCCATCATGCCCATCGGCAGCAGACCCTGCTCGACCACGGCCAGGCCCCCGAACCGTGACACCATGTCCTTTGCGTGCTGCCGGCACACCCATCGCTCCTGCGCCGACAGCTTCTGCCATGCCGACCCCGAGCACACGCCATCCTCCATCTCCCGCAGCGGCTCGGGTTCAGGCTCCCTGCGCATCTGGTCAAACGCCCTGCCCAGCGCCCGTGACGTTCTCTCCTGGTATCGCGTGTACTCGTCGTAGCTGAAGAATCGCTCGTTCTTGAGGTCTGGGTAGTCGCGCTTCAGATCCTCAACCGTCCGGTTCATCCTGTTGGTCCCGTCGAGGTCGTCGTGCGGCGACTCGAATGCCGCTCGCGCTGCCCGGTACCGCGCCGCCTCTTCCGTCATGTAGTCGTCCATGACCTTGCCCGGATCCTCGAGCACCGACTCCCGCAGCAGAAACATGGGCACAAACGGATTCTGCAGACCCAGGCCCCCTAGCGACAGGGGGAAGTACAGGTACCCGTCCGGCACATCCTGCACCCCGAATCGCTCGGCGATCATCTGCTTGAGCCGCGCCCCAACACCGCCGCTGACCCCGGGGAAGAGCGATTCCTGGATTCGTTGAAAGGTCTGGAGGATGCTGTCGACGTGCGCCCGTGAATAGCAATTGGCCAGGCTGCCAAAGTTGGTGCTGAAGAACCGTGACCCGTAGATGTTCCACGCCTGGATCCAGTCGAAGACGCTTTTGCACGCGTCCAGTTGCAGCCGCAACTCGTCAATGTGCGTCGACACCTTGTCCTGGTCCAGCAGGAACCGTCCGCTCGCTGCATCCAGCTTGAGGAACCCCCAGACCACGTTTCCCTTTGGCAGTCCCTTCTTGAGTCCTGGAGGTGTCGGGACTTTCCACTTCGGCCGGATGATGGCGCTGCCCGTCTTTTCCTCGTTGATCGCCAGCCCCATGAGCTTCGTAAACTCGGTGATGGCGCTCCAGGCGGCGACGCACCTCTGTTCGGAGCCCCAGAGCCACATGTCGTCATGCAGCCGGTAGAGTCGCGCACCGTCTGCCTTTTGGTTCACGGCAAAATCGAGACAGAACAGCATCGATTCAGCGAAGAAGTCGGCGATCGGCGTGCTGAGTGGTGTGCCTCTCTTCCGTACCTGCGGTTGCGCGTCGCAGGGGTCCTCTTCGAATCGCAAGGGACACTCCAGGGCTTTCCGGAAGAACGCGATCCAGTCGGTGTCAACACCAAAGAACTCGAGCACCGCGTAGATGGACGAGTGCGGAACGCTGGGGCCGAACCACTTGAAGTCGGAACGAATGACGGTGATGTCCTGACCGAGCCTGGTCTTCATGATGATGCTCGTTTGCAGAATATGCAAAAGGTTCTGAACTACCTTGATGTGAGATTTCCTGCTGTCGTTTGCGGCTGCTTCCCCTTGGTTGTATCCACCACGCTGCTCGTCCATGGTCGCGGGCAACTGGTCGAGCAACACCTCGGCTCGGTAATGATTATCCAAGTCTTGGTGTACGCTGCCGTTAGCACTCTGATACCTAGGCGTGTTGAGGAAGAACATCCGCCGGCGGGCATCTTCTTTGTCCATTGGCGGCACCGTCGTCTTTGGTACACCGGGGGCGGCCAGGAAGTCCGAGAAGGCGGATCGCATCAGCACACCCCAGCTCCTCCCGATGTAGTAGAGGAATAGTGTTTGAAGCAGATCCTCATCCGGGTAGAAGCGGTAGCGACCGTTCAGCTGGCGGCGAGGGGTGATGGTGCACACCGAGTCCCACGACCAAGACTTGCGTGTCTGCATGCGCATGTTGAGCACGTCAGCGATCTCACGGAGAACGATCTTGTTGTTGAGAAAGTCGTTCAAGGTCGCCTTCTTCTGGTCTGTCAGGATATCCGTTCTCAGGAGACCACTGATACAGTTCGTCAAGACCTGCTCATCAAAATGCGTCCGCTTGTCCCAAAGCTTCTGAAAGTCCTCCAGTTCATCAGTGAGCCTTTTGAAGGCCTCCTCGACGTCTTTCGACGATGATCGGAAGAGGCCCTCGAGATAAGACTTGATGGCGCGCGTGTCCGTGTCCTTGGCTGTGAAAACATACTCCTCCCATGTCGCACGCTGCTCGTGCGACTCTGCCCGACCGACGGGCAGAAACCCTGAGCTGGAGACTGCGTCGGAACCTGCATTGGATGCTGTGTCGGAGTCGGAGGCACTGTCGGCCTTTCCAGCCGAAATCCATTCGTTCACAAGCTTCCCATACAGCTCGGCGAAGCGATACTTCTCTGACTGGACGTTGAGTTCGTTTCTAAGAGACTGCTCGTAGTCGTTGATGAAGTCTTGGGAGACCGAGGGGTCATGCTTGGCCTGCAAAATGAAACGCTTCAGATTTTCGAGAGAGATTGTGG